GGGTGGGAGGGACCGGGCGCCCCAGGGCACGCCCCCGCCAGCTCCCACGCCCGGCTCCGCCGAGAGCTGGCGAGCCCGGGAGCGGCGGGCTATATAAGTCCCCCGGCGCGGGCAGGGGGCACGGGCGCCGCCAGCCTGCGCCCCTGGGTCCTCCTGGCACTAGGGTGCGAAGGCGGGAGGCGCGGCCCGGCTCGGCCCCTCTGCTGCGCTCCACCTGCAGCCACGGCCGGCGCACCGCCTCCCGCGAAGTCAGGGAGCCGGTTTACTGTCCCGGCGGGACAGGAGCGGAAAGGCAGGGAGAAATTCCGCCCTGTGGGCGCCCGCTCGTCGCTTCGCTCTTTGAGCGAAGATGGCGGGCCCGACAGCCTCGGACGTGCCCCCGACGATGCCGGTCAAGATCTTCTCAGCTGGCGTGGCGGCCTGTGTGGCGGATGTGATCACCTTCCCGCTGGACACGGCCAAAGTTCGGCTCCAGGTAGCGAGCGAGATGAGGATGGGGAGGTGTCTCAGGGCAGAGAGGGGACACCTATTCCGTGAGCCCTTTTGATGACGGCTTTGGTTAAACCAACTCCTCGGGTAGGGCGGGTGGCCACCTTAACGGTGTGGGCTGGTCACAGAACTGGATGCAGGGGGGCGGGAAACTGGCACTTCTCCGAGATTAACGGAAGAACCACTAGAAGCCACGGAAGATACGTTGACCGTGACTACTGCGACAGCCCCCAAAGTTAGGGTGCACTAAATGTTCTAAGAGCTAAGACTATCAGCGTCTCCCAAGTTTACAAGTCAGGTTCTTTGACTTCCTTAATTTGGTGGGGGCACCTTCCCATCTGCTGCTTAGGGGTTCTGGAGGATTTATACAGGGAGGGTGGGAATGTTCAAAATTCTCATTGTAGCTAATCTCTCTTCATATATATAGCTAGAGAGATACAGAGATATAGAGGAGATGTTGCTGAGAAGGGAAAACGAACTGAAAATAGGAAAACAGTGGGAAAAATCTTGGCTTGAGGTTTCTCCACAGAGAACAGACAGCCTGTTACCAGTCTTTGTTTTTTCCTCACCAGGTAGGAACTCCTTACTCAATTTTTACGTCCCTCTGACCTGCACCTTTCTCATTTCCAGATCCAAGGTGAATGCCAGACCTCCAGAGCCATTAGGTATAAAGGTGTCCTGGGTACAGTCACCACTCTGGCAAAAACTGAAGGGCCAATGAAACTCTATAGTGGGCTGCCTGCTGGTCTCCAGAGACAAATAAGCTTTGCCTCTCTTAGGATTGGCCTCTACGACACCGTCCTGGAGTTCTTCAGCACAGGGAAAGAAAGTAAGCAATGAGCATTCCTGGGAGGGGCAGACAGCCAGAGACATGCCCTGGGCCCAGCTCTGTTCAAGCAATGTTACGTGCAGGGGTGGTCTTCATAACAAATTGGCAAGCAGACAGCCAATATTAGCTTGGTACTCACTGTTCATAGAAAGAAAAGGAAATGTGCAAAATCAATTTTTCAGATGCAGATTTATACTTATAAAAATCACCTGGTCAGTCATGGAAGCTTTGGGCCTAATTTGGATATCCATCTGGAGAAGATGGATGGGCTGCAGAAAAATGTTTAACTCAAAGTTCTGCAAACGGTCAAAGAGGATGACCTTCCCCGATAGAGGAGGACCATTCTTTGGTCAATGGTATAGGAGTAGCTGCACTCCCCTGCTAGAACTCCCAAACAAGCTCTCAAGTCCATTTGTAGGGAAATGTAGGGTAGTCAGGCTTCCAAGACTCCAGACACATCCAAATGAGGTGCTGCATGTGGCAGTCTGTTTTTCTTTAAAAAAAAAAAAAGTGACCTTAGGATTACATAACTTTATGGGACAAGTTATAAATATTAGTTATACAAACATATAATGAGTTTATTCTATACAGTTTCAAAGTAAAGTCTAGATGCTTTGAGATCCATACTGCATTGTCCTATTTGTAGATGTAGCAAGAGAAGAATCACAAAAGACATAAAGCTGTCCATTCTGGTAGTTTGCTTCACAGTTGACTGTTCTACCCAATTGTTGAGTACTTTAGATACTAAGTTAATAGGACATATTTTGGCAGTACTCTATGTTATGCCTATTCCGTGCATTTCATTAGCTTTATTGAGCTGCCATGTGCCAGAAACTGCTGGATGCGTAGATTATGGATATCTGTCTAGGCAAGAGCTATGAGCTGTGAATAGGTCAATAGGTGAGGATGTGCTGTGACACATGCTCTGTTAGAAGTAATGACAGGACGTTGGGCACATGGAAGAGGAATATTTTACCTAGCCTTGGGGGCATGGTCGGGCAAGATTTTCCTGAAGAACTGATGTCTGAATCAAATCTTGAAGGACCAATAGGCGTAGTAAGGTGAAGTGGTGAGGAAAGGCCTTCCAAGTAGAGCGAAGGTCATGTACAAAGGCTCAGAGAGGAGTGGCAAGAACACACAGGTCAGAGAGGGAGGACTAGGAGGGAGAGGTGAAGCCAAGGCAGGAAGGAGCCAGATCACAAAGGACCTTGCAGACTATGCTAAGAAGTTTAGATTTTGTCCTTACAGTGATGGGAAGTCATTGAAAAATGTTAAGCAGGAAAGTGGCCTAAACAACTTATATTTTTGAAAGATCACTTTGGCAGCAGTATCTAGAGGATATATAGAAAAAGGGTAAGAAGAGGGTAAGTTAGAAAGTAAGAAACGATCAGGGTAGGCTACAACAATGGCAGCAGGGAAGAGAGATCAGAAAGATTTAGGAAGTGTAGCTGACTGGACTTGGTAGGCAGCTGGTGTAAGGGAAAGGCTGGGATGGAGGATGGCCTCTGAGGTTCTGGCTAAAGGTACCATTCACAGAGGGAAGGAATATGTGAAACTGTCTTAGGGGGAAGGTAAGACATGCATATGAAGATGTGTCAACAAGTAGCATCCAGTCAACACATGAGCTTAGGAGAAATGTCTGGGATAGACTCCAGGGAGTTGCAGAAGGAACCATCAGTTGGGTCAAACAGAGCAGAGAGATCTAGTGTGAAAAGGACAAAACATGATGGATGTGCCTAACAGCAGGACCCCATGGGTCTCCTTCGCCAAAACATCAAAGGGGAGTACTGGAGATGGAAGCTGGATTGTGGAGGATTGAGGAGGAACTATGAGGAGACCCATGAGAAGTGAAGACAGAAAATGTAGCCTCTCCCTCAAAGGGCTTGACGGGGAAATGAGAAACGGACTGGAGGACAGGATGAGTGCATCAAAATAAGATTATAAATGTGGGCCCAAAGTGAAGGGAATTGTAATCATATGATCTTGCCAATTAAAAGATGGTTATCTATTGTACGCTCAGCTCCTGGACAAGCATGAGGAGAAAAGAGGACAATCATATGGTTATGAAAAGAACTTATGTACTTTCTATATGCAGGACAGTATGTTATGTGCTATATTGATATTATTTTAACTCACACAATAACTCTATGAAATAGATATTGTTATCTCCATTTTACAGATTGGGAAACAGACAGACTGAGAAAGTCCTTGATGAGTAAATGTTCTTGGTCCATACGTCAATGATAGAAATGAGCCTGGGGGAGGAAGGCTCCAAGACTATGTATAGTTTATTAAATAATATCTGTCTTGAGTAATCTAAGCTCATTTTTCAAATTTTCAAATCAAAAATCACTTTCTTCACTTCTTTCTATTTTTGTTCCCTTTGTAATCTGTTGTAGCCTAATACCACTCAACATCCCATCTGGGGGCAGTTAGTCCACTTGGAATTTTCCTAAGACCCCTAAGTCCAATAAATAACATTACCATCCATAAGAGGAAGGCTGAGCATCATTGGTGACTGGTACCTGCTTCCAGTTGGAAAAAAACTGAAAAAGAGAGCTAGCTATAGGAAAGAACTAAGCACTGTTTAAGTAGGCATTGTGTTTTCTTTGTCCTTGAAAGTCTTCATTTATTTATTTTTTAATTCTAGTCAACTTTGAAGTTTCTAGCCCTAAAGTGATTTAGTACATACTCAGTACATGATCATCACATGCACAAGCATTAGGGAAATAGAAAAGATATAAAGAGACAGTAATACTAACCACTAAAATTAAAAAAGACATAGAGAGTTGCACTCTGGGTCTTGTTTTTTGTTTTTGTTTTTCATTTTTGCTTGATAAATATCTTTTCTCTCCGGATAGCAACAGCTAGTTTAGGAAGCAAGATCGCAGCTGGTCTGACGACTGGAGGAGTGGCAGTATTCATCGGGCAACCCACAGAGGTCGTGAAGGTCAGACTGCAAGCACAGAGCCATCTGCATGGTCTCAAACCTCGCTACACTGGGACTTACAATGCTTACAGAATCATAGCGACAACGGAAGGCCTGACAGGCCTTTGGAAAGGTAACTGACTTCAAGGTGAATCTGATAATTATTAAAACACATATATCCTGTTAGCACCTTATCATATAATGGAGCTATTATACATTTTCTTTTTTCTAGGGACTACTCCCAATCTGACAAGAAATGTCATCATCAATTGTACAGAGCTAGTTACATACGACCTAATGAAGGAGGCCCTTGTGAAAAAGAAACTCCTAGCAGGTAACTTCCTCCTAGATACGTAACCTGTGAGTCTGCACATTTACAATTTCATCCTGGAGGTTCTCTATCCACATTGTACTGAATCCCTTAATCGTAACAGTTAAAAAAATTAAGTAATTTTGAACACTAGATAGAACTTTTAAGCAAACAAAACAAACCAAAACCAAAAACAAACCAAAACCCCAAAAGGCTAACTTTTAGAAGTTTTGCTGCAACCAATTTTTTTCTGCAACAAAGAGAAAGTGTAATTATATTCTTACATCAGCATTATTCTCATTTAATTATAATATATGGGACTTTGGTTAGCCTCTTATTCTTTATATAGCATAACTCGGGAGGTGAGTCCATCCCACACTATAGCCAAATGTACTGGTTATGTAAGGAGCTCATCAGTGTTTTCATCCAAAAAGTAGCACCGTTGGATAGGTTCCTAAGATAGTCTAACAGGTTCTAGAGATATTGAAATTCTCCCTGGACAATGACTTTAATTCAATAAAAAAGTATTAGATGCCTATGTCTCAGGCATTATGCCATACCCTAAGGGCACAGAGCAGACTGACAGGTTATTTTTTTAATCACATCACTGTGCCATGTACTCTTTGTCATCTTTTTTGGTAAGGGTAAGTAAAACCTTCCTTATTATATTTTATTTATTTATATAAAGACATCCACGTTGGTCTCCTGATATCATCAGGTTTCCAAGGATCTGATAGATAACTAAAAACTAGAAGCTTCTTCCCAAAGTCTGCTGCTGACTTGTTTCATTGATCCATTTTAGACGACTTACCCTGCCACTTCGTGTCAGCTCTCATCGCTGGATTTTGCACAACAGTCCTGTCCTCGCCAGTGGATGTGGTAAAAACCCGATTTGTTAATTCTCCACCAGGACAGTACACGAATGTGCCCAACTGTGCCATGACAGTGCTCACTAAGGAAGGACCGTTGGCTTTTTTCAAAGGGTAGGATATGGTCTTCTCTGTCTATAATGTTGTGTTCAGGCCATCTGTGTGCTTTGGGATGCTTTCTTGTCTAAATAGTTGACCAGCCTTAGTCTATGCCGTATGCTTAGTGTCTATTTTTCTTTGCCATAACGATCTCCAATTCGCTAATTCCACTGGGCCAGAAAATGGAAAACTGTTATTAAAATTTTCTCAGCCTTGATCAGAGGCTCACTTAAATTCAGTGACCTTTCCCTTGGTCCCAATCTATTGGGAATGTGGACAGGATTTTGCCTGATCAGGGCTAGAGAACTATAACGTGGAGGGAAAGCATAATAAAGGGCTATAAGAAAACAAGATGTGATTTTCACTATTCAAATAATTTTTTTAATTTTAAGTTTTTATTTTAATTTGTTAGTGCTATATTACTTTCAGGTGTACAATATAGTGAGTCAACACTTCCATACATCACCCAGTGCTCATCACAACAAGTGTACTCCTTAATCCGCATCAACCATTTAACCCATTCCCTTGCCCCCCTCCCCTCTGGTAACCATCAGTTTATTCTCTATAGTTAAGAGTCTGTTTCTTGATTTGTCTCTCTCTCTTATTATTTCCCTTTGCTTGTTTTTTAAATTCCACATACGAGTCAAATTATACAGTATTTGTCTTCTCTGACTGACTTACTTCATTTAGCATTATACTCTCTATCTCCATCTGCATCATTGCAAATGGCAAAATTTCATTCTTTTTTATGGCTAAATAATATTCCAGTGTGTGTGTGTGTGTGTGTGTGTGTGTGTGTGTGTGTGTCTTCATCAATCAATGGACACTTGGCTGTTTCCATATCTTGGCTATTGTAAATAATGCTGCTATAAACATAGGGGTGCGTGTATCCTTTTGAGTTAGTGTTCTTGTATTCTTTGGGTAAATATCCAGTAGTGTGATTGCTGAAATTTTCACTATTTTAACTTGATGGACTCAGATTTTTTGACTGTATTAAAGTAAAACTAGAGAAAAATCATTGCCACTGACCTAGAAAAGTCAAGCAGAAAATGATGTGGTTTGGATAATTTTTACACTTACCTTGAAACTAGTATTGTGTAGTAGATCACATTTCCCATTAAGCAGTATTACATTGGATACTACCTTCCTAAGAAAATACAGTATGAACTAATGTATGGATACACTCTATAAGGGTTAAACTAGTGATAATATAGCAACTTCTATAACCATTTACAATTGTAAGGCAATGCCTCAGACTATAAAATAAGCATAAATGCACCATACACATATACACAAGGTTTTCAATTCACCATAATCAGCACTAATGATACATTAATACAAATGAAATATATTATAAAATTAATTTAGAATGGATATCTCAGTTATTAACCATTAACCATTTAACAATATTTTTATTTTTTTCAAACTTGAAACCTTTTGGGGATATATGCTGCAACAAGGATGAACACTGAAAACATTATGCTGAATCAAATGGGCCAGACACAGGACAAATATTGTATGATTTCACCTATGTGAGGTATCTAGAGTAGTCAGATTCATAGAGACAGAGGTGGAATGGTGATTACCAGAGGTTGAGGGGAGGTGGGGGGGTAGGGAATTATTGGTTTGATTTTTTTTTTAGATTTTATTCATTTATTAGAGAGAGTGCGAGAGCACGAGTGGGGGGTGGGGGGAAGGGCAGACAGAGAGGGAGAAGCAGACTCCCCATGCTGAGCAGGAAGCCTGACACCGGGCTTGATCCCAGGACCCCGAGATCATGACTGACCCAAAGGCAGATGCTTAACTGACTGAGCCACCCAGGTGCCCGGGAATTACTGTTTAATAGGTAGAGTTTCCAGTTAGGGATGACCAAAAGGTTCTGGAGATGGGTAGTGGTGATGGTTGCTCACAATGTGAATGTACTTTATGCTACTGAATTATACACTTAGAATGGTTAAAATGGTAAACTTATGAACATTGTACCACAATTAAAATACACACACACACACACACACACACCCAGGAGTCAGGAGAAATATGTTGAGACCTTAAAAACAACAACAACAACAACAAAACAAAACAACCCCCCCCCCTGCAAAAACCTTCGGGGCATGATTTTTATAGGCCAGATCTCTTTTAAAAACTCTATCCACGGCAGATTTAACTGATGACATCTTTTTCTCCCGAATGTCTCATTGCTGCAAACAGGCATTCAAAATCAATCATTTGGTCTGCACAGTTTGACAGCATAACAAACAAAACAAAACAAAACAAAACAAAAACAAACCATCCAAAACCCAAAAACCAAAAAGAAAAAAATGCCCTTAGCTCCTTGACACTCTTAGGCTGAGAATTGCCAAGATCTGGACAGCACTAATTTCTTCACTTTGGAAAATGGTCCACTTACTCATCGCTTTTTCTTTGCTTTCTCTTCCTCCTCTTTCTTTTCAAAAGATTTTATTTATTTATTTGGGAGAGAGAGAGAGAGCATGAGAGAGGGGAGGTCAGAGGGAGAAGCAG